CTGCACACTGTGTCCCTATTCTATCTTACATAAACATATCCACATACACACTTTGTCCCTATTCTATCTTACATACACATATCCACATACACACTTTGTCGCGATTCTATCTTACATATACATATTCACATACAAACTTTGTCTCTATTCTATCTTACATATACATATTCACATACACACTTTGTTCCTATTCTATCTTACATAAACATATCCACATACACACTTTGTCCCTATTCTATATTACATAAACATATTCACATACACACTGTGTCCCTATTCTATCTTACATAAACATGTCCACATACACACTTTGTCCTATTCTATCGCACATATTACATATCCACGTACACACTTTGTCCCTATTCTATCTTACATACACATATGCACATACACACTTTGTCGCTATTCTATCTTACATATACATATTCACATACAAACTTTGTCACTATTCTATCTTACATACACATATTCACAAACACACAATGTCCGTATTCTATTTTACATATACATATTCACATACCACTTTGTCCCTATTCTATTTAACATACACATATTCACATACACACTTTGTCCCTATTCTATCTTACATACACATATTCACGTACACACTTTGTCTCTATTCTATCGTACATACACATATCCACATAACCACTTTATCCATATTATATATCATATAGACATATCAACACATACCACTTTATCCATATTCTATCTCACATAGACATATCATCCTACACACTTTATCCATATTCTATCTTACATACACGTATCCACACACACACTTTGTCTCTATTCTATCTCACACACGCATATCCACATACACACTTTGTCCCTATTCTATCGTACATACACATATCAACATACACACTTTGTCTCTATTCTATCTTACATACACGTATTCACATACACACTTTGCCTCTATTCTATCGTACATACACATACACATATCCACATAACCACTTTATCCATATTATATCTCATATAGACATATCATCCTACACACTTTATCCATATTCTATTTTACATATACACACACACTTTATATATATTCTATATCGACATATACACAAAGTCTTTATTTATGCTACCTGCATTATGAGCACATGTTCCTGGTCTAGAGTGAACCGTGAACCTATCTTTGTCTTAGTCAGAATGGTGATACATGAATTTATAATGTCTAAGAATACGTTATTACTTGTTGAACTGTTTCCACTTGGCATAGTAAGTAGTACAGATAATGTAACGATGATAATGATGATAATAACTGCAGCAACAGCAATACAAACTGCAACACCTGCTCCTGCACGTTTTGATGACTTATTGTTGCAGCACATTTGTTGCTTTAGTAAAAATAAAAAAAAAATGTTATAACATTATGTTAAAGCGCGGTGGTCGTCGCGCAGCGCGTGATGGAATTTCATGTAAATGAAGCCCCTTTCACAATTGGTGCCAAACAGACTACCAATTATTGTACGATCCAGATGCGACAAAATGGTCGCATCTCGGTCGGGAAAAAAACCGTGCTGCTCCGATATTTTGAGCGACTGACGCGATGAAAAATAATTGCACGACAGGCAGTACGAGTGTTGTGCGACTTTGCACGCACTCGTAAGACCCCGAACGAGTGTTGCACGAGTATTTTCATGTCGTACGATGATGCGTCCTGTCGTACGAGTCCGTTGTACCACCCTAAGACTATTGGAAGACCTGTCTTGCCCCTTTTGCAACGTTGTACGATTTTTTTCACTCCCAATATAAGCTCGAGATCATCAGCGGTTGTAATGCAGAAAGTCGCATCGCGTGTCGTATTTATAGGCCAACACCTCGCGCGACAGGTGGTGCGGTGTGTCGCACAATGGGTCATAGCCTTGTACGATCGGTTGTAGTAGTGTACAACGGGTCGCTAGGTCGCGCGACATATTGCGCTACAAAACGCATATGTCGTGCGACTTGGTCGCATCATCGTTCAACTTGCAGCCGTTGTACGACTGTTGCACCCGGAAACATGAAAATAATCGCACGATTACGTCTCACGACTGTTGTATCCTGGTGCAGTGGTCGTTCACCTCTCGTACGATTTTATATATTGCTTGCGACTCAAAGACAACACTTCTACAACAGGACGGACAAAATATTTTCGAAAAAAAAAATCATCGCACGAGTGAGGCGCCAATTATGAAAGGGGTTTAAACAATGTATTTTACACGCGTTGTATACGTCGCTATGAGTCCCATAGCGAACAGATCCCGACGCGACGACTGCCACCCTTTAATAGCCTGAATCCGTTTTTCTAATTTGGTCGTGATTGTGTTTGTAATTATTCTGGAAGTAGATTTCAGGTATATACACAAAAGGGTTACATCTTTCTTTTAACGGAAATTGGCAACATTAAAGCGGCAGGTCGTCACCTGCGCTCGCGCGGGAATTGAGTCCCAAGCGACGATAACAACACACACTGAAAACGCAAAGGCTCAAGGGCAGACGCTTGATTGTAAACAATGACACGCTATGCGCTGGTGACGACTCTCCCGCTTTAATATATTGTGCTATGGAACGTATTAGATAAAATGTGATCCTGTGAAATTTTGATTTATAAAATATATATAAAAATATTTTTTCAAGAATTACTTAAACATGGCAACAATTTTTGCATACACATTTTCATCTGCATTTCCTTGCAATATTGATTAAAAAGGTTTAACATGTACAAACATTACAGGTAAGAAGATAATAAATGAGTACACCTTGCAACTGCGTGCCACCTAAGAGTACACCAATCGGTGAATGCTAGTTCCAGGGTCCCCTATTTCACTATGTTTCAGATGTTTATCATATTCCAACATGGTTTTTGTTGATTTACAGTTATTTCTGTGTCTACGAATTTTCTTTAAAATGAAGTTTGTATAAAATAAGAGAAATAACCACCTTCAGAGGCGTGTTTACCATGAGTATGCCACCGAGTGCTTATAAGGATTGAGCATTGCTGCATTAGCTAATTAAATGTGTAACAATGTGCTATTCCGTGTTAAAATATTCCAGGTGTGATCCCGACAGACGCAAACAGGAATCAATTTTCACTAAAAGATCACGTTTCTGTAAGGAATCGTTCAGATTATCACATTACTCCTTGGCCAAAGCCTTGATATCAAACGCTTTTTTCTCCCCCTTTACCTAAATGGTTTGGACTTTAGAGGCGTCAGCAAAAAACTATCAATTAATTTCATATATTGTTTGAAGCCTCTTTTGTTATCAGCTCACACTTATTGAAGAATGCCGTAGACGGCTTCAAACCAGGAATTTACAATGTTTTTCCTTTACGAACATTCCTCTAGGATTTTTTGATGATATAGAAAATCCACGAATATATTTATAATTTGATTAAGGATCGACCATACAATTCAGTAAAGTTTAGAGATAAATGTTGTCGATAGCGTCGGGTAAACGTCTCTGGGCTGACGGAATATTCAGGAGGTGGCTGGCTGTCAATCGTCAGATCAAACATAGGAGTATCAAGAGCTACGTCGAAATTATGGATGACGCTCATGTCCTGGGATATTCGACAAGACGGGACTGTCATGAATATCGGTTGCATCTTATATATAAGATGGATTGACAGACAAAATATTGCTACTAGTGCCATCGAATAGACGTGATCTTATTGACTAGTAAATGAGCATGAATATTTCATATCTATAATAAAAATAGCTCGAAGTGCGGAAATCATGCAAGGTGCATACAGCATAAATCCGTGATGTACAACGTAGTAGAATCATCGTTCTAGCTGCACATAAACCAACAAATGAGAATATTGGATGTACCTGTGCTAGTTGGCAGAGAGCGGAGTTTAACCTTGGGTTGTGAATACGATTGGTTGATTAAAATGGACGGATTATCTTGTTAGTGGTTGGCGAAGTTGGTTCAAATTGTGCAAGTGGGACGCTAGTTTCCAAAATAAGCATGTTATGGCTGAAGACGGCATTAGGTATATTGTCACTATATTCAAAATCTCGCCGTGTCCATATTAGTAACGTTGTAGTTGTGATCGTTTTTCCGAAAAATATCCATCATTGATACATATTATGGTATGTGTGGTCCGGTGAAATAACATGATGTTCTTTTGAGGTTACTGCAAAGTAACAACTGAAGTGTGCCACAGGTTGATGCAACCGTATAAATGTCACAGTGCTACTACATAGTGACGACTGGTGCATTGCAGAGGTTGATGCGACCGTGTAATTGTCACAGTGCTTCATAGTAACAACTGGTGCATGGCAGAAGTTGATGCAATCGTGTAATTGTCACAGTGCTTCATAGTAACAACTGATGCACGACAGAGGTTGATGCGACCGTATAATTGTCACAGTGTTTCATAGAAACAACTGATGCATGGCATAGGTTGATGCAACCGTGTAATTGTCACAGTGCTTCATAGTAACAACTGATGCACGACAGAGGTTGATGCGACCGTATAATTGTCACAGTGTTTCATAGAAACAACTGATACATGGCATAGGTTGATGCAACCGTGTAATTGTCACAGTGTTCCATAGTAACAACTGATGCATGGCATAGGTTGATGTGACCGTGTAATTGTCGCAGTGCTTCATAGTAACAACTGATGCACGGCAGAGGTTGATACGACCGTGTAATTGTCACACTGCTTCATAGTAACAACTGATGCACGACAGAGGTTGATACGACCGTGTAATTGTCACACTGCTTCATAGTAACAACTGATGCACGACAGAGGTTGATGCAGCCGTGTAATTTTCACAGTATGTCATAGTAACAACTGGTGCATGGCCGAAGTTGATGCGACCATGTAATTGCCACAGTGTTTTATGGTAAAGACTGATGCATTGCAGAGGGTGATGCGACTATGAAATTGTCACAGTGCTTAATAGTAACAACTGATGCATGGCAAGGTTTGATGCGACCGTGTAATTGTCACAGTGCTTCATAGTAACAACTGATGCATGGCAAGGGTTGATGCGACCGTGTAATTGTCACAGTGCTTCATAGTAACAACTGATGCATGGAAGAGGTTGATGAGACCGCGTAATTGTCACAGTGCTTCACAGTAACAACTGATGAATGGCAGAGGTTGATGCAACCGTGCAATTGTCACAGTGCTTCATAGTAACAACTGATGCATGGCAGAGGTTGATGAGACTGCGTAATTGTCACAGTGCTTCACAGTAACAACTGATGAATGGTATAGGTTGCTGTAACCTTTAAATTACCATAGAGCTTCATAGTAACAACTGATGCATGGCATAGTTTGATGCGACCGTGTAATTGTCACAGTGTTTCCCAGTGACAACTGATGCATGACAGAGGTTGATGTGACCGTGTAATTGTCACAGTGCTTCATAGTAACAACTGATGCACGGCAGAGGGTGATGCGACA